TCAGATGATAACTTAATTTGTAGACCTTCTTGCATTTGTCTTGGATCCACTTCATCCTCCTGCCTCTCCATCTGAACATCAGCTGATAGAACATTTCTTAAGTCCTCACTATGACAAGTTTCAGATTGGGCCAGGCTTTCCTTTGTATCAACTATTGATGGTTCAACTTTCCTCATGTTAATCTTTGTTTCTATTGTTTGCAGATCTTTTTGAATATTGTCACTTTTAAGAGTCAAACTCTGTGGGTTAGTTTCAGGATGTGTTGTTGGATCTGAGCTTTGAACATCAGAAGAATAACCAGGCAGAGGCACTGGAGACATGGAGCTGTCATGTGAAACAGAAAGATTATCATTTTTAAACTCTTGACTGAATTCTTCACTTTTTGCTGGCTTTGTTTCTGACACCTTCAGTGTTTCAATGACCTCATCACCCTTTGTAATTTCTATTTCTTCCTCTTGGGATTCTTTACCACGATGTCTTCCTTTATTTCTACGACTTGACCCCAGTTTTCTTCTGCTCCCACTGAAGCTAAGGTTAGCATCAGTTTGTTCCTCTGTGCTCTGAGATTTGTCCTGAAGTTGAGGGTCTGAAGGAACTTTTACGTCTGTAAGAGGAGACTGAACATAAACATTGTTCCTCTCAGCTACAGAGGAAAGACCAAGTTGAACATTTTCTTCAGCACTGTGTTTAGCATCTTCTTGCAGAGAGGCTTCACCTTCATCTGTCTGACTGACAGCAGTAACTTCTCTTTCAGTGTTGTTGATCCATGTTTGCTCCAGATGATGGACATGATCATCCTCATTTCTGTGCATTATAGTTTCCAAGCTCTCTTCTGCTGTAGGAACAATTATTTGTTTGTCATCAGAGGGGGAAACTTCGTGAATGTTAGCAGAATTATTTGTACCTTTCTCTTTGAAATTTTTATCGTAAATTTCAATTTGCTCATTCAGTCTTCCAATAAGAACTTCTGGGTTGAATGGGGCTTCATCAGTCATCGTGTCAGATGAGTAATCAATCTGTAGATTTTCCAATATTTGTGTTGTCTGATCATCAATAACCTGTTCTTGTCTTGTAGCGATGACTGGTGTGGTTTCCCTAGATTTATTAGACATCTCAACATTAATGTCTGTGTCTTTCTCATCTGTTTTTTCTGGAGGACTTTTACTTTTAGGAACAAGACTCTCTTGGCCAGGTTCAGAGTCGGTTTTTGATACAGTGTTTTGAATCTCTGAAGAATGAGCAGGTGCATGCACTGAAAACGTAGACATGTCATGTGACACAGGCAAGGTAATATCACACTTGATACCTTGCTTTAATTTTTCTTGGCCTGCTTTTGTTTTCAGTGACATTTGTATTGTTGTAGGGGCTTCATCTGCCTGGTTATTCCAAACAATCTCTTCTTTAACCAGTTGTCTTTCTTTATTTCTCCAGCTGGACCTAATGTTTTTTCTGTTGCCACCGTTGTTGGTGCCTCTGTTGGTTTTTTCGTCAACAGTCTCAGAATCTCTGTGAAGCTTGGAGTCAAAAGAAACAGTTTCATACTTAAAAGTTGTTGACTCAAAATGTGTTCCCACTTTTTGGTCGAAGTCACTTTTTTCATCCTTAAATATATTTTCAGGTTTGGGTTCTGTTTCATCGTCAACAGTGTCCTTGAACTCATAGATCTGACTCACAGCAGACTCAACTGTTTTTACTTGTGTATTCATATCCAATGAATCAGAATTGTCACGTTTCTGTTCCAAAGCCATTGAGATGTCTACTTCTGCAGGTTTCTCTTCATTTTCATCATTAACAGTTTGCATTTTGAGCTCAGATATTTCAGAGAGGTCAGTCAGACATTCAGAAACAACTTCACTGATTTCAGTGCCATCACATGTAACAGTCTGCAATGAAAAATCAATTTGTAGGCTTTCTGGCATTTGTGTCAGATGAACTTTCACCTTATCCTCTTCAAGTTGTGCACCGTCGTTTAGAACATTTCTTATGTTCTCATTGTAAGACGTATCAGATTTATCCTCATTTTCCTTTGTGTCATCCAATGATTTCTCCACAATTTCAACATCAAAATCTCTTTCTTCATCTTGATCTTTTTGAAGATTTTTACTTTGAAGTAATAAACTCTGTGTATTAGATTTGAGGTGTGTTTTTGGCTCTTCAAGTGCTTCATTATCCTTTGTACTTTTGATACCTGCCTCTTTAAATTTGTTTCCAAGCTGTTTTTCTTTATTTTTATGACTTGACCCCAGTTTTCTTGTGCTCCCCCAGAAGGTGACATTAACACCCGTTTGTTCATCTATGCTCAGAGATTTTTCTTGAAGTTGAGGCTCTGAAGGAGTTTTAACGTCTGTCAGTGGAGATTGAACAGAAACATTATTACTCTCAGCTTCAGGGCGGACTTCTTCTTGATTACTCAATTGTTCAATAAAATGTTCCTCCACCAGTTTTTCTTCTCCTGCAAACCATAAATTTAGTTTTTTGCCTTCATTATCTACTTTATCCACAACATCCTGTAGATACTGACCATGTCTTACTTTAGGTAGTTTGAAAAGTTGACATTTTTCTTCATTCGGAGCCATCTCATTTGGCAATACATTTACTGCTTGCTCAATACTGTCTTTAGTTTTCCTGTTTATTATATTAGTGCTATTATCTGCAGTTATCTCTGGTGTGGTTAACTCTGAATCTGTTTTAACATGTGACTCACTCACTGAGTAATTACCCTGACAACGTTCATCTTGTCTGAACAAGTCTGTATCAGTGTTTTTATTGGTTTCTAAATCGGCTGAAATATACAAATTGTGAAATTCTTCACGCTTGTTGAGTTTTTGTTGATCACTGGATGGACATGCAGAGAAATTGGGCAATTCAGAGAGACATTCATGTGTATTTTGTTTAGTTTTCACATTTTGAACAATGTTACTACTTTCATCAGTTTCTTCCAAGTTGGTTTCATCTTGACTGACTTTGTCCTCTGGAAAAGACACTTCACTTGATTCCTTAAACTCAGAAAATTTGTGTGTAAAGTCTAAGACTAATGAAGCATCACACTCTGCAGATGTACTGTATTGACTCTTGTCTTCTTCCTGCATTTCAAGCTGTGTTGCTTCTGACGCTTGTGCTTGCAGAATTTCAATACTGCTGCTCTCTTCCTGGATTTCTTTTATAGGTTTCTGATCTTGCTCAATTTCTGAATCTCGGACACGTTGTCTTCCTTTACGTTCTCGTCTCGACCCCAGTTTTCTTGTGTTTCCACTGAGGCTGAAGTTAGCACCAGTTTTCTCCTCCATACTTAGAGATTTGTCTTGGAGTTGGGGGTTTGAAGGATAATTTATGTCTGACAAGGGAGACCGAACACAGATATCATTCCTCTCAGCTTCAAAGATGGCTCCTTTGCCATGAAAGCTTTGTCCAGAAAAATCTCTCTGCATAGGACATACAACCTCATATGTCTGACTGAGAGCAATATTTACCTTATCTGATTTGTTGATCCATGTTTGTTTGGTTTCATGCACAGAATCATCCATATTTACCTCATCACCAACTGTTTTTTCTTCTCTTGCAGATTGTGAATTCAGTTTCCCATCAGGAGTTGAATCTGCATATTTAGYTGCAGAGTCATCTGCACTTTTTATCATGTTCTCAGGCTGATATATTTCCGGTATCAAACTATCAGAGTATAGATCAGAATCATCTGCAGCTTGTAGTTTGAGACTTTCAGAAGAGCCATCAGCTTGATCCATACTGTGCACTTTTGTTGGGTTAAGGTTTTTATTATCCACTTTATTCACAGCATTCTCTGGATACTGAACATCTCTTACCATGTTAGGTACCGGTAGTTTGAAAAGTTCACCCTTTTCTTCATTTGTAGCCAATTCCTCTTTTGGTAACATAATTGGTGCTYGCTTAAGATTGTGCCTAATTTGTCTGTCTTTATTGGTGTTATCTGCGATCATCTCTGATGTGGTTGACTCTGAACATGTCTTTACATGTGATTTATTCACAGAATAATCGCCTAGAAACAAATCTGAATCAGCTTTCTCATTTCTTTCTGAGTCTGACACATCCATGTTGAAAATTCCTTCTTGATTTATGATCTGTTGACCAACAGGACACACAGATAAATTGGCTAATTCAGAAAGATAATCATGTGTACTTTCTTTGGTTGCCTCATTTTCAGAAGTGCCATTTTTGTGAATTTCTTCCAGTTTTGTCTCATCTTTACAGTTTTGCACATTGTCTTTTCTGACTGTAATTTCTGTAACTTCCTTTGAACAGGACACTGAAGTTAACTGCTTGACCTCAGAAAAATCACATGTAGTGGTGAAGACCAAGGAGGCATCATGCTCTACAGGTAGATCATATTCACTCTCTTGATGTGATTTTTCTTGCACTTCAGGCTGTACTACTTCTGACACTTGAGTTTGGAGAGTTGGCCCGAGCTGTCTTCTGCCCCTATTGAAGCTGAAGTTAGCCTCAGTTTGCTCAGTTGTGCTCAAAGTTTTATCCTGAAGTTGGCTGTCCAAACGACCATTTAAATCTGACAGTTGAGACTGATGAAATTTAGAGATGGATCCTCCTTGATGAACGCTACATTCAGAACTGTATGTAATATCTACGCCCATGAAACCTTCATCTTCATATGTCTGAATGAGAGCTGTGTCTTCTCTTTCTGTTTGATTGATCTGTGTTTGCTCTGGCTCATTCGCAAGATTATCCTCATTTCTCTGGACTAAAGCCTTTGCATTTCCTTTTACTGCAAAAGACATGATCACTTTATCATCAGAAATGAAAACTTTTTGGTTGGTAACAGAATCATCAGTATCTTTCTTAGTGAACCCAGACTGGTGAGTGTTGACAGATTCAAATTGGTCCATCAAGTTTCCAATAACAATTTTTAGATTTTCTGAGGCATCATTAGTCACAGTGTCACATACGTTATCAATTTGCAAACTTTCTTGCACTTGTGTTTTCAGATCTGCAAGAACTCCTACAACMTTTACTGAATCATGAGGAGTTATCACTTCTTTACTCAGAAAAGATTCATCCACTGTTGCGGTGTCTCTGAGTTTAACAGACTCCGAATTATTGTCTGTGTCTATTTTATTTAGATTTTCTGGAGCATTTTCTCTTTTTGAATTAAAACTCTCCAGGTCAAGATCAGGATATTCTTTTGCCCCAGAAATGTGAATCTTTGCAGATTGCTCAACTGAAGGTATTGAATTCATAGAGCTGTCATGGGACATAGTTTGGTTAATGTCACAGTTTGTGTCTTGCTTTAACTCTTTCTGGGTTACTACTGTTGTATCTAATGATATTGGTGTTGCTTCAGGGGATACATTAGGTTTGATATTTACAAATAAGTCTTGCTTGGATTCGTTCAAACTTCTTAGTCTTTTCCTGCGTTTCGACCCAAGTTTTTTTCTTTTGCCCTTTTTGTCAAAGTCTGTGTTTATTTGCTCGTCTACAGTTTTGGGATCGTTGTCGTTTGTGTTAACAAAAACAGTTTCTGACTTAAGTATTGACAATTTTAATTCATCCCCCTCCACTGCCTCCTCTTGGTAAAATGTTTGATGATCAGTTGTTAGATTCTTCTCCTGCTCAGTGGCAGAATCACTCATGTTTTTCTCTGTAGGCAACATAGAAACATTTAAATTACTCTCATTTTCCATGTCTGCATMTTCTGAGAGGTCGTTTGTGGGATACACTTGTTTGATTGATTGATCCATATTTTTTACAGTGAGCTCAGAAATTTTAGCATAGTCGGGTAGAGTTTTACAATCCATTTCACAGGATTTTACACCATCACCCAGTGTTTGATCAGTTTGCAAATTTTCTTGCATTTGAACTGGATGAATTTCTACTTCTTGCATTTCCTTCAGAGTGCCTTCTGAAATAACACCTTTGGTATCCTCACTGTTTAGAGTGTCACTTTCGTTTACTTTTTCTTGTGCAACGTCCTCTGAATTTTTAACCATTTCTTGCTTAACGTCTAACTCTGTTTCACCAAGAGTTTCATATTTTGACATAAAACTCTGTGGGACAGTTTCAGCACATTTTGTTGACACAGAGCCCTGAACCACAGAATCAACATCAAATAGATGCATTGATGACATGGAGCCGTCTGAAATGGACAGGACATAATCTTGCTCAATGTCTTGAGTCAGTTCTTTTTGCCTTCCTGTCTGTATTTGTAAAGAAATGCTTTGTGTTTTGAGAGTTTCATCACACTTGGTATTATCCTTAACTTTCTCGTCTGGTTCTTTACCGTGATGTCTGTCTTTATATCTATGGCTTGACCCCAAYTTTTGTCTGCCCACACTGACGCTGAAGTTAGCATCAGTTTGCCCATCTGTACTTGCAGATTTGACCTGAAGTTGAGGATCTGACGGAGCAATTAAATCAGACTGAGTTGTGTTTTCAAGGCATAGATCAGAATCTTGTTGCAATTGCAGTTTCAGACTTCCAGAATAGTCATCAGTTTGATCCATATTATGCACTTCTTTTGCTTTGTCTTTATCCACTTTAGTCACAGACTCCTCTGGATACTGAACATCTCTTWCATTAGTTTGTTTGAAAACATTTCCCTTTCCTTCATTTGTAGCCAACTCTTCTTTAGGCAATACAATTACTTCTTGCTCAACATTTTTAATTTCTCTGTTTACTTTATTGGTGGCATTATCCACAGTTTTCTCAGGCGTGGTTGACTCTGAAACTATTTTAATATGTGACTCACTTACTGAGAACTTGCCCTGAAAACTTTCATCTTGACTGAACAAGTCTGTATCAGCTTTTTTATTGCCGTCTGATTCTGCTACAAAATACACAGAGCGTTTTTCTTTTATGTTGATCATTTGCTGATCAAGTGAAAGACATGCAGGCTCGTTGGTTATCTCAAAAAGACCATCTTTGGTTTCCTCATTTTGTGCAACACTTTTGTCAGATACTTCCAGTGTAGTCTCAAATTTACAATCTTGCACATCGCTGTTCTTGCCAACAATAATTTCAGCTTCACCCTCTGAAGACGAGATTGCAGTGGACTCATTTTTAGAAGTGTGTGTAGGAGCCGAGACCAAAGAGGTAACACACTTTGCAGATATATATTCACTCCCTTGACCTGATTCTTCCTGCATTTCAAGCTGCGTTGTTGCAGTCACTTGTGTTTGGAGAGTTGCGATACCCCATGTCTCTTTCTGAACATCCTTTCTAGGTTCAAGCTCTTGCTCTGTTTCTGGCTCTTTCACATGCTGCCTTCCTTTACTTTTTCGACTCGACCCCAGCTTTCTTCTATTCATTTTGACTTCGTGTGTAGGTGGATGCTTGGTTTCAGCTTTTGAGCTGTCAGCATTAAAAAGATACAGTTTGTCACTTTAAGTACTCTTAAACTACAAATGTACAAGTTGTTAGCTGAAGAGGTTAATTTCAGGTTCAGTTACATTCAACAATAACTTTCTGCTGACATTGTTGGCAGATAATCTTAATGCCTCAAGCATGAATCGCTCAGTTCAGAATCTTGTAAATACGGCTCAGGATAAATCTAAGGAGACCGTAACAATAAATCTAAAAAAATTATTACGTACAGGTATAAACTCAGTTTCCTAGAATTAACTAAGGTTAGTTCAATTATTTCAACTACACAAGTTTCACACTGAACAAAATTAGTCTAACAAACTACAATTACATTTACTGGAAATTAAACCATTATCTACTTAAATTTCCTGTTATATAGACATAATCACATGTACTTACCACCCAAATCTGGCACATCTGTTGACTCAAATCATGAGCTGCTCTTTAATGTTAAGTCATCTGCTCTGCTCAACAGGAGTTGCACTTCAGATATGGGGGAGTGTTCCTTCACTGCAAACAGGCCTGACAGCTTCCTGTGTGGGTTACACTTACTGGTTTATCATTACCCAAAACTCACTTCCTGAATCAAATAAAGCTCAATTCTTCACACTGACTTGAAATTTCTATTAAAAGACAAGATCAAAATTGTAACCAAGGAAAAACATTTATTGAAAATTGCATTTTCACAATTTGTTGGGAGTTCAGAGTCGAGCAAGTTTGAGTAAATGTCATCTTAAACAAGTAACATACAGTAGGTAAAATAAAGAATATCAGATGTTTTAAGGGACAACCAACATATCACAGTACCAGTATTACATCTCTGCATTTCACAGTGACCCATTCAAACAAACAGAAGAGACAATCAAGAATAATAAAAAAAAAACCATAGCAAAAGTTTAATTCAACAGTTAAAAAAACATTTTTACTAAGAAACCAAACAGTATTCAATTTCAAATACATGCAGGGCAAGACAATTTATTTCATGTGGAGTAAATTTGTCAGTAAAATGGTAGAATCTTTCCATCACAGCTGACAAAATGAGAAAACTTGAGTCCTTTTTGCTCTTTGAATAAACATACCACAATATATAACATTACCAGTCATACACCGTTTTAAAGTTGCWAACCAAAAACCTTAAAAAATGAACAAAAAAGAATTAAGGATATAACATTTTCTCTTTTTGCAACTTTAGCATGATCTTGCAGAACAATCCAGGATCTTCATTTTCTTTCGTTGGACCTGGAACGACTGTAGAACAAGTCAACTGGTAAACAACCCAATAAAATTGCATTTGTCAAATTTATGGTGCAAAACAAGTTTAAATCTACCTCCTTGATCGAGAAAAGGATCGTGAGCGTTTACGATTCTTGTCTCTGGAGAGAGATCGATATCTGCGTCTATCTCTTGACAGAGACCTGAAAACAAAGAAAGATGTAGTCAATCAGACCAATGTGTAGACCTAACAGCATTTCATTAATCTTACCTGCTGCGACTGCGACTCAGGCTCCTCCTCTTTGGCGAGCTATGTTATGCATGACGGTGAAAAAATGAAAAACAAAACTAAATTAGGACAGAGGTACTTATATAGATATTGTCAATAATGAAACCTGTGGTATTTTAATCCTTTTGAAGAGCCAGGGAAGTGCAGCAAGTTCAACTCATTAAAAGAAAAACTTTGTTCGATGAGCACCAATCACTGGGCCAGACGTCAAATTAATAAATATCAGGGCTTGACATTAAGGCTCAGTTTACACTACTCCACATATTTTGAAAAATGTATATTTTCTGGTTTGTCTTCGCCTCCAGTCTGCATACAAATGAATTTTTGGTGAAAAGGCCAACTTTAAAACTCAACTATTGATGTCTATTTATAAACATAAAGCACAGAACCTTTTTAGAAACAAAGCTTATTTAGAATTTACACACTATTACTTTGTTACATTAAACACTAAGTCGTGGCTGCGACTTTTCTGGGTCTGTCTCCTGTTAACCTGATCCTGTCACCAATAAACCTTAATAACATGATGAAATACAACTGAGAAGAAAATGTAAATAGTATAAAAGAATTTATAATAATTTTGTAGACTCTTTAGCCTTGCTAATGATGTTCTTTCTTCATTTGAACTGTTGGTAATGYGAATGCTCTTGCCACCTAGTGGTCCAGCATGGATGATACAGAGTTTACAGTTGGAACTTGTGGATGAGATTACTTTATGAACAGAGAAAAATATTTTAGTTACAAAAATATATATGTGGAGTAGTGTAGACAGTAGTTTAGAGTTCCTATGAGAGCTTAACCAACATTTTAGACCTCCTTATTCCAGCCAAGCAGCATGTATTTAGCTTTAAAACACATGGATGTTAAATAAAATTCTAGACAAAATAGGTTGCTCCCCACAGCAGACAAATTAAAGTTCATTTTAGATTAAAACAACTGCATTGGAGGCACATGGAACACAAAAACAAATGTGTATGGAATGAATCAATACTTAAAACAGCAAAAATTGCATAAAACACACAACAGTTACAACAAAATAAAACCATTTTTTTGCTAATTAAATTGTTTGAATGCTGGTCCAGCCCCTTGAGCTTTAGACTTTTTTGCAGAGCTGCACAGAGCTTGCTTTTAGTACAAAAATTGCTGAAGGAAAACTGTCGACCGGCTTTGAAAGCTAGATTTATCATACAAACTACAAAGAGCAGGATAAAAGCAACTTACTATTTTGGGGGATTTGGACAAGATAGAAATGATGCTAGGAAGCCAGACTGATGAGGGAGGTCGAATTGCAGAGAGGATTTGCCACATGATGCAAAAGTTGCAGATATGAAGTTGCTTGGTGGCTGGTTGGAGTGGGGAAGTTGTAGATTTTTCCTGCCTTTTTTGGTGTTGGGGGGTGAGGAATAGGGAAGGATGTAAACCAAGGGCTGTTCCCGGTGATACAGGAGATGTGTAGAGAATAGATAGAGTWAAGACGCTGATTGGTTGATAATGTGAGGTGGACCGCTGTCGGTTGGATAAAGGTCGGAGGAAGTAGAGGAGGATGCTGGGAACTGCATGCTCAGGAACCAAAAGGTTGGTGCAACCTGATGATTGGCGGTGCGCCTTGGTCATGTGACAACACCAGCCAAGCTGACGGGGGCTCGCTGGTCAGCAGTCACATGATGCTGAAAGAAGACTAGTTGACTGACTCAGATGGTGAGAAGCGTGGTGGTGACTCTGCAACGGGGTTCAGTTTTATTAATAAATGGCAACTGAACTGAGAAATAAAGCAAAACTTACACCTACAGAAACTAAGTATATAAAATCATATTTGATGGATGCWGAAGTTGTAACTGTGTTCTTTTACAGATCTGTGTTAAACTTGTTTCACTAAACCTTAGTTTTTCTACAAACATCTCTTTAGAAGAATTTATCATCAGTCAGGTACTTTATATAAAAATAAGATAAATTAAAAAAAAAATAACAATAACTGCACTTAAATGAAAACTTTGCATTACCAAAAACTAAACTGAAAGGAAAATGAGCAAATTTTAAGTTGTACCAGTTCAATTAATTTGCAATAATAGGCCATATTAACAAATCTAAAAGCACAATAAATAATTCAGTCAAAGAATTTGAACTTCTACTCAAAGTTTTAGGTCAGGGGTGTACAATCCTGGTCCTCGAGGRCCACGATCCTGCACATTTTTGAAGTTTCTCTGCTCCAACMCTTCCTGATTTGAATGAATGGGTCATTAACAGGCTTTTACACAACTTCAAGATGTAATTCAACCACTAAATTAAGTGTATTTGAGCAGAGAAATAAGTAAAACATACAGGATGGGCCCTTGAGGAGTAGCACTGGACACCCTTGTTTAAGCAACTCCTATATTGTCACAAGCCTTTCAGGAACTTACTGCAATGATGAACTTAAAAACAGCATGTTTTTGACAGCAGTTAGGTCAGAGTTCATATTGCATTAAGCTACAAAACAAAACTTGTCGAATCTTTAGTAAATATGCCCTTAAATATCTCATGAACTAAGGTTATCCAAATCCAGAAACTGACTTATAAATTAGCTATGTAACTACTGCCTGTGTACTGACTGATGTTTAAAAAACTAAGTTTACTCATGTGATCTTGAGCTCTAAGAGTGTTCCTTTTATTTAAACCAAACTGAATTTGGTTTGATGAAATTTAGGTGGGTCTGAATTGTGAACATGCATTTAGTCCAAATATAAATTTGGTGGCCCTAAAATAGTTCTGTCCAAGTAAACAGTTTAAAGTTAAAATCTTAAAGCTAATAAGTCACTTTAATAGTCAACACAAATTTTGTTGTTTTGAAAGCAGAAATAAATAAATAAATAAAAATGGTCATGTTTGAAATACATACCGGCGTCTGACTGGAGGACTACGTCTTCTAAAATCATCCCGAGGGCGTCTACTCCACGATGGAGGAGGACCGCGGCTCCTTGAGCGCTTTTCACCGGTCGATAACTCAACACGCACTCGACAGCCACACATGGTTCTAGACAAAATTTTTCATGTAAGTCAGACATATTTTTCCCTATTGGCTGCTTTTACCACCTGTTTCAACTTCAATAGCTAGTTATTTTGGAAACATTATTGTGTAAAATAGTCAATCGTATACACATCAAACTGTTATCTTTAATAGTTTTGTAGATGCAACAAATGTGATCAGAACAAATAATGTGTTTTAGCGATAGTCCATTTGWACAGATTGCTTGAAAATCCAAATTAAAATTGTTCCTTCTCCAAGTTTTGCAAACAGATAACATCAGTTCATTGAATCACAGCACCAACTGTAAAATCAAAGTCATCATTAGTCAGTATTACCTCCCATCCAGTTCTCTTACAGCATCAGATGCATCTCTGGGGTCTTCAAACTCCACAAAGGCAAAACCTGGTGGATTCCTGGCGACCCAGACATTTCTTAAAGGGCCATAGTACCCAAAAGCTCTTTCCAACTCAGTCTTATTTCCATTGTTTCCAAGATTTCCTACATAAACCTTGCAGTCAAGGGGACAGTCCCGATGAAAAGCAGGATCTGACGAGGACAATGACAAAATCAGATATGAAACACACATAAAGAATTCCTCTTTGTCTCTGGTGCTGTTGTTGAATGTAAACTTTTTTTTCTTTTTTACAAAATGGTCAGGGTTTCTCAAAGAACATTTTTCGTGTCTCTTGACATTTATATATATATATATA